AAACCGTCTATAAACGCTTTCTGAACCTTTAGGGTGATGCAGTGCAGCCCATGCAGCACGCTAAATATTCGGAAGTAATTTCATGTGCTAACTTTATATGGCATCAGCGCGCCTGTCAGCAATGATTCGCCGCTGCCGAGTACACTTTTACGCAAAGTGGTTGAGAAACTGGGACACAACAAGATAAAAGCAGCTGTCTTCACCGAACTTGTCCCTTACACTGCCGCCGTTATTAATTTTTTTGGGTAGTCCATGCTCGCAAACGATATATTGTGCTTTCAAGTTTGTTTCAAGGCTAAGCGATCTAACTGCTAAAAGTTCAGTTAACAATACTTAATATCGACCGCAAGACCTTATCTGGCAAAGCATTCAAAAGTACAATTTGTTGATATCTCTGCGCGAACAGAGCTCCCTGGGAGTACATTTCTGCACTCAACTTATACTTACAGCAATCCTCCGGCCGTTATACAGCGCTATTTTATTTTAATCGTTGTAGCAGAGTTCTCTACCAATGTTCCGGTTTTATTCCTTTTAGTTTTTTTCATTCTTCCTAACTAGCGAAAATTATAACAATATTTTGTGGACATATTCTTTCAAGATACTACGCGCTGCCGGAACCTTTGGTTACTTTCCTGGAAACTTGTCCTTGTTCCTTTTTTGAAGAATGAAGTTTATGTGATTGCGCTGAAGGAGTAAAATCTTATTCTTAGTCATAATCTTACAGTTATGGCCTGATCTTTCCCTGCTACCACTGTCACCGTTTCAGGATTCACTGTTCCTTCGCGGCTACCACAATCACGTTTCACTGACCGTTTCTGGTCAGGCCAGGCGATTCACACCCTGGTGGTTGCTGGCTTTTACAACGAGGCTGCCCAAATGGGCAGTCTGGCGAGCGACAACTAAACAAAAACGCGCACGGAAGACTTGAACAGTGCTGCGCCGTACATACCCTATCAATCGACTCGAAAACGTCTCCCTCGTTGTCGCGAAATGCGTACAACGCGCAGAGCGCAGCGCAGCAGACCAATGCACTTGAACTGGAAAGTCCAGCGCTAGGTGGAATATCACTGCCAATCATAACGTTGATCCCTAAAAGTAGAATAACGTGTTTCATACGCTCAATAGTTAAGCAACGTAAACATTTAGCTACGGTGGCGTAGAGTCAAGAACATTCTACATAAATTATTTACCACAATAACCATTAGATAAGCGACTGTCAGCGAAAAAATCAACCAGCGAAAATTGGGCAGGCCCTCAGCCAAAAATACCTGATCATGGGCAAATAAGTAATTCTGCACATTATTTGAACGTTTACATGCAAAACATGTCTGATCAAACTTTTACATACTATGTATAATTCATGTGAAATGCAAATCTGCTACCATAAACAGACGAAGAGAAAACGAAACACCCATCAACTTACCGAACTGCATGGGAAATTTCATCAGAGACTTGGAAAGTTTATGTTCTTTGAGATATTCGACTACCCCACGAAAGCCACACAAAAAGTAGTCGTACCATTCAGGATGATACGATGCAATTTGATAGTCGGTTTCCAACGGAACACAAAACCGCCTAAAAATCTGGTTCTTAAAAAATGAATTCAACCAGTTTCAGTTAATAACGAACAGGCCTCTGAACTATGCTTGCAAAACAATATGCCTTTAAAGATATCCAGTGACAAGAATCTAAATTATGAAACGCACAGCCAAGATTCAAATACAGTAGACTCTTCATTTTGCCTCGATGTTCTTCGGAAGTGATGGAACAAAAAAAATTGAGGGATTGGAAGTTACATATATAGAAACAATGGCTTCCACAGCGACTACATGCTGTAGCAACAATGCATATTTATCTAAATCAACTTTTTTGTTATATCTTTCGTAAGAACGGATACCATAGGATAAACTGCTCTTAATGCACTCAATTCATAAAAACTCAAAGAAGCGACCTTGCTGCCATCTCATTCATTCCAGGTATTTCAGATGGAAATTTTCGAATTACTAAGGATGCATATTCATTCATGGTTTAACGAAAAATTCTGTACATTTAAGAAACTTATCAAAGACGCAAACATAAAAAATGCCATTTATATAAACATATGCAAAAGACATCAAAAGCCTAATAGGAAGTAGGAAGACTCCGCGTACTCTAAATGGAAAAGAACAGGGGAGCCAACAGGACATGCAAGTTTCGCCAACATTCTACGGCATTTGACCATAAACCCATATAAGATAAATTAGTAGTACTGGAGCGTGAGTACATAAATAAACTTGTAATGAAAAAATCACTGCATATTTCATCGAATAAGATCAAATTATCAATGTTCATACTTCCTCACTGAATATATCGAAAGCTTGGGACTCATTAAGGTGAGCAACAACTTTAACTTGTTTCATTTTTATATGACTGCTAGTGATCGGTCGTGAAGAAGAGCACTGCATTTGAACTGACACACTGGCAATATTTGGGTCATTGTTAAAATTGAAGTCTGTTTATGATCACCTCTTTCCATTTCCGGTTATCGGTTACAAAATGCGCTCTGAACTTCGCCAAAAAAATAATGAATTCGGTGTCAGCACTCATTTTAAAGCTGAGTTGATTCTTCGTCCAGTAAGGATTAGCGGTGTTATTCCACATGGAATACATACACTTGTTTCGGAACTGGCATTTGTTCTACGAGTCTAAGCTTCATTATATAAATCCTTTTCCTCAGAGGAAGTACGCCTACGATCCGATAAAAATAACGTACACTGAAAAAGAACTAACGGACATTGACAATGTTTAAGAAAAACGTTTGAGACTGGCTGTCGTAAGCTTAAAGGCAATTAATCAAGAAAACAGTCCAATTATCAAAAAACTGGTGTTTCATTTACAAGATTCGCCATTAAATTTCATACAATATTCATTTAGTCATGTACAGCCTAAGCGCACTGAATTATACAATGCATTACCGGGATGAAGAAAACGCTTCCTTGCTTCCAGTTAGTCGCTATTACACAATTTGATATGTAAAGGTTTCACTGTATGCTGCTTCCAGCACGACAATTACTTCAAGCTGCCAATTTGGCAGCATGACTTAATAAATCATTCAAACAAGCAATTGAGTCTGTAAAAGCCAGAGTATACTTCTTCTTCTTATTTCTCCTGCCACGTTCCCTTTAACAGGGGTAACAGGGGTAAGCTAATCAAGTCAATCCAATCCAGTTTGCTGTCGTTGATTAGATCTTCAGAAACCACACACAGTTTCATATCGTTCTTGACGACACCGCGCAACCTTTTCTTCGGTTTCCCCTTCTTTTCTTCCCTCGCAGTATCAGTGCCTGGATTACATTTCCAAAAACTTTATGGGTCTTCTCTTCACGTGACCGAACTAATGGAGCTTGCTTTCGATAACCTTCTCTGAAATTGGTGATACCACTAAAGAGCTTCGCATGAAGCTGTTTCGCATATGTACCTTTCTGCTGACACCACACATCCATCTGAGAATTCGCATTTCTACCAAATTCAGCTGTTGCTACCAAATTCAGCTGTCTCCTCAGGGTAGCCAAATATTCGGCGTTGTATAAAAGCACCTATTTACTATCGTTTTGCGTACCTTCCCCTTTAGAATGATAGGCATCTTCTTGTCGTATAATACTCCGCTCATTTCTTTTCATCTGATCCAAGCATTTTTCGAAAATTTCTTATCTGACCGTCGATTTCTGCTTTATCTCACAGGATGGAACCAAGGTAATTGAATTCTTTGGTTTGAGACGGCAGGCTCCAGCGACTTTCACTGATTAGACAACTTTCCCACTGAATCTGTTTTCCCCCACTGAAACAGCCCGCTATATATTATGACTTGCCTTTGCTGAGCCGAAGGCCGGCTTCTACAGAGCTATTC